ATAAATGGAGTCATGCAGTATGTACCCTTGTGAGTCCAGCTTCCGTTGTTCAACATAATGGTCTTGAAATTCATCCATGGTGTTTTTGTGTTAGTAGCTCCATCCTTTTTTACTGGTATGTTATATTCTATTGTATAGATATACCAAATTTACCTATTCTCCAGGTGATTATTTTTCAACTGCAAATTCTGGTCCTTATAAATCCTTTTATAAAAATGTTGCTGAATGCTGTACCCATAGCTTTTATTAAAAAGCTGGAGTGATAAAGAGGATACATTCAATTAAGGCACTATTGTTTTTTTAGTTTGATTTTATGATACTACTATTAAACAAATGACATTTAAATCCGAGCCTTAAGAAACATTTATCACCCTATTAAAAGCCATATACTCAGCTATGTGAATACATTTTTCAGTTGATATTTTGAGTATATTATAAAAAGCTTGAGTAGTTCAGATTTGCTGTCTGATTCTCTAAACTCTAAATAATTACTAGCTTTCCTCTTTAATTTATACCTTATAGAATTTGCCTCCGTATTGGTGGAATTTCTGGAAACAAATATCACTTGTTTAAATAAAAAAGTTTTAGTTTGTTAAGTTTATGCTTTTTAAAAAGTTTGCTGTTTTTCTTTTCTTTCTTTAAAAAGTGTAGCCGAAACTTTCTAGTATTAACAGGTACACCTCAAGTGGCTTGAAAAGCAGTTTTTTAAACTTTTTCTTGTTTATTTATTTTTAAATTAAATTTATTGGGGTGACATTGTTTAATAAGATTGTATAGATTTCAAGTCTACATTTCTATGGTACAGGATCCGTAGATGGCACCGCGTGCCCACCGCCCCAAGGCAGATCATCTGTCGTCACCTTACTCGTGTGTGTGAGCCCTTTACCCTTTACTGCCCTGCACGCCCCTTCCCTCTGGTAACCACCATACTGTTGCTTTTTGTCTGAGTTTTTGTTTGTTTTTCTTGTTTGTTCATTTGTTCCTTTCAGTTTTATATCCCACATATGAGTAAAATCATATTGTTCTTACCTTTTTCTGTCGGACTTTATTTTGCTTAGCCTGATATTCTCCAAGTCCATCCATATTGTTACAAATGGCAATATTTTATCTTTTCTTAGTAGTATTCATTATATATAGGTAGCGCATCATCTGTGGAAGGACACTTGAGTTGTTTGTATGTCTTGTCCACTGTGAATAATGCTGCAACCTAGGGGTGCATATATCTTTGTGAAAACATGTTTTCAAATTTTTCAGGTAGATACCCAGAAGAGGGTTTGCTGGGTCATATGGTAGCTCTATTCTTAATTTTTTGAGGAGCCTTCATGCTGCTTTCTATACTGGCTGCATAGTTTACATTCCCACCAGCAGATGAATCAGTTTTTTAAAGTTCATTTCCTGATATTCCAGTAGGTGGCACCCTTGCAAAGCCTAAATAAGTGACTACTTTGGCAACAGATGGCTGTTTTCTAGATGTTTTGTGACCTACTTGCAAATCCATTTGTTCTGGACAGCTAAAATTCTCCCCCCCACCCCCAACATCAAAATTATACATGCAGTCCGTTAAGCATTTAAAAAATATACAATAGAAAAATAAAATATTCTTCAAGTTCCTTGCTAATACCCAAGATATAACCACTATAACTGGTTGGTATAAACTGTATTTTCCAGACTTTTTCTAGGCAGTACACACAACAAATGCATGTAGAAATAAAAATTTAGATTTTAAAGTAATCATAATTATAGTTTGTCTTTTGTTTGATCCTGTAGTTGAGTTTTTCTTTTCTTATGAGTTGCTTCCTTTAAAGTCAGATCTTTCACTTCTGTAATTCATTAATGTCGGAGTCCAAAAGGACCTTTCCACATCTGTACTGAATTAGGGCTTGTGGCCTAGTGAATGAGGGCTGGAATCTCATGATAAGGGTGCTGTGCTAATTATGATTCTTGGCAGTAAGAGTAAGACAAAGCACATTTAATGACAAATACAATGTTTCCTTTGCCAGCTGAAGACCATAGAATACTTTCACTGAGATATTATCAGAATAAGACTAATTTTGGATGGGAAATTTTGTGAAATTGCTGATTTTTTTCAGGTAGTTCACCCCCCACCCCCAAATAGAATAACCTTAAGGGCACCTGACTGCTCTCAGAGTGAGCAATCTAAGTGACCAAACCAGAACTGAAATGCTTTCGTGATCTAATGTTTAAGGTCACACACTGTCGCTTGTTCGATAGGTCTGCTCTGTCTGTTGTGGGGGGAGGCATGCCTATCAAGAGGTGAGGATCATTGGGGCCATCTTGGAAGCCTCCACAAGAATCAGTCAATGCATAGATGGTCACTTTGTTCAATTTTTAATTGAGGTATAATTGACCTACAACATTATATTAGTTTCAGGTGCACAACCTAATAATTCTATATAGATGAGGCCTGTCCAGAAAGTATCCAGCCACACACTATGAAAAATAGAGACATTTATTGAAGAAGACACAAGACACAAGAAACATTGTACATAGGACAATGACACCTCCGTACCCTTCAAGTAGGTACGTTGGGGTTGGGACCTCACACAGTTCTCTGATCTTTGTTGATTGCAGCTTGTACACATTCAACATTCTCAGGTGTTCTGCTTGTCCCAGGTTTTCCAGAACATCGATCACTTTCAACAGATTCTCCACCCTCTTTGAAGCATTTGCCCCACACTTTTATTTGTCCTGCACTCATTGCATCATCCCTGAAAGCCTGCTGAATCACCCACTAACAACATAGTTTCCATGGAGGGATGTTCAAGCTGAACACAAAATTTGATGCAGATGCGTTGCTCTACTTGCTCAGTCATTTTAAATGTGACAGCCACACAGTACATGCTCTCACTCAACAGTGTTTACTGCCCCCATTGACTAGTACAGTTATCTTTGTTCACTCATGGGCATTCCAGTCCACTCTCCTCGGCTGCCAGGTTACATCAACGTCACACAAACCATTCTCATGATGTTAACAATGGCCGACTTCCTCTGGACAGACCTTGTATATTGTGAAATGGTCACCAGAATAAGTCTAGCTAACATTCATCCATAGATGGTTACTTTAAAGCCATGGGATTAGATGCATTTATTAGGGAGAAAGTGTAGAGAGAGATGAGCATTGAGCCAGTATTCAGAGGTCACAAAGAAGAGGCTGAGAAAAAGCTTCCAGTGAGATGTTGTCTCTGGGATCCCAGTGGAGGAAATATTTCCAAAGGAAGGGAATGCTGAGAAACTAGGGTAATAGCTAAGAAATTGCCACCAGATTAATACTTGTTCAAAATCCCTTTCTCCTTTGAAATTTACATAATTCAGACGTAGTTGCAAGGAAATCAGATGTTATTTAAAATGCAAATAAGAAATATTTGCATTATTTATCACTTGTGGGGCTATGGGCCTTGTTCAGGAAAAGGCCTTGATAATCTCTTTGGGTCTGAAAGGTAAGGTTCTCCTAGGACGTGTTCCGGCAAGCGAGGGCTAGACAGAGAATTGAACTCTGTGCATAACCATGTGAGATGAGTGGAGTTCCCGAAACCACTAGCAAATTCTAAAAGGAAGGGTGACTTCAGAAAGCTGCATGCTGGAGCAAGTCATCTTAAAATGGCGTAGTACCCTCCCATGGGCTTTTGCACTCAGCACCTGAATTCCTCCAGGTCTGCAGGGACCCCTTCTCTCCCTTCTGCTCCCTTTTACACTCCTTGCTCATCCACCCCCCTGATCTGGCCATACCATTTTGGTTCCATACAGTAAATAATGACAGGACACAAATATCGAGTACTTGCTAGGCACCAGGGACTGCTCCTAGTGTTTTATGTATGTCGTCAATCTTCGCAAAACCCACCCCACTTTGCAGATCAGGAAAACGAGGCACGCAGCAATTGCTACTTGCTGCAACGTAGCAGAGCCAGAACTTGGACCCAGGCTGGCTTCAGAGCCCCGGTTCTTCATCATGAAATCCTGCTCTTGTTTTCCTTTTCCAGTTTTGAGTCTGGCAATTCAGACTGAATCACTGTCTACTCAGGCTTAGACTTTGGCCACCTTCTGCCCCAACCCAGAACATGACATCTGTTACTGACTTATGGGCCTGACCCACCCCAGTAAAAACCCCAGCCTTGGCCTTAGCGGTATCAGATAGGAGAAAAGATACCACAGCAATTATTTGTTCACACCCCTGTGTCCTTTACAATGTGTTCCTCTGTGTCCATTCTCCTTTCTCTGCCTGGTTGGTTTCTGCATAAAACATTTAGTTGCCCCCTGACATATTGTTCACTTTCTCCTCCCTGTGTCCTTTTGAACTTCTATTTGCCCTAGTCACTGCATCACCATTCCCAGAAGAGTCTCTAGTCTGGCACCTGTAGGGGTTCAATAAGTGCTGATTGAATGAAAGAAGGTCCTAGAAAATTAACAGGACAGCTGTTATGCCCTGCAGTGGGCAGTATAATTTTGCTGTAAACTGAATGGGCAAATGTAAAAAAGAAAGAACTTCAAAAGGAACTTCTTAATCTCAAACCTGGACATTTTTATCCCAGTATTTATCTACTGTCTTATTAGTAGTTCACAAACCTCTCTCTGTGCCCTTATTGCCTGGAATTTTTGTGCCATTATTGTTGGAATCAAGAAGGTACAGATTTTACGTTACTATCATTTATCTTTTAAAATTAACTCTATTTAAACAATACTGCTTGTCAAAGTCCTGTGATTAAAAACATGTTCCAGGTCACTAGAAGAAAGTTTATGAACAGGCTCCAGAAAGATAAAAGGCAATTTTGTTTTTTATAAAAACCAACATGGCCATAGTGATTCATAACTGAATATTGTTTCAGAAGGGCAAAAGGGACTCAAAATGAATAGGAATCCAAAGAAAATGAAAGAGACAAAAATAGAGATTGAACTAATATAGCATCTTAGTCTGAAAGGAATAATTTCTACTTGTAAATTTCCTGTTCCTAAGGAAGCAATCGTGAGGCAGATCTTGTGAAATTTTATGTTAGTTCTTCAAGTTTCTGAACTTGGGATGAGACCATCTCATCGCTCACTGCTGTCTGGATAATTGTCTTCATTTTGCAGGTTTGAGTAGCATCTAAAGATAAAGATGGAAAAAAGGGGGCAAGGTTAGTGTTTCAAATATTGATCCAAAATTGGTGGTGGTCAACCTCACTTTCTAAATTAGGTATTGACCGATACAACCCATCAAATTCAAACTTCCAAAGGTGAATTTTGGATTGAGAAATGCACGTTATTAAATGAAAATGAAATGTATTCAGTGTTGTCTTATGCATGAATGAAAATATTTATCTTTTTAGCCATTGAAAAAGTACATATGAGGCTTGTAATACCTCTTTGCATGGTTGGTTTTTTTCTTCCTGGGCTTGCCACAAGTTTTACTACAGTATAGACTACTCATTCTTTGCAGGGATGCATAAATGTCTTTCCTCGGCTCAGAATATAAATATACATTACTAATAATACTGCACCATTCAATGAGGTCTTATAGTTTTAGTCATTAATAAATGTGATTCTGGCTTATTCTAAGTGATTCTTAGGGAATCTGTATACCGTCAGAGGAATCAGTGGACTGCGCTTGAGACTTGGAATCTGTCACCGACGAAGTTTCATCCAGATTATCACTGTAAAGAAAATGAGGGAAATGATACCACACCATGCTTTCTGGAATGAGGAGAAGTTTGCTGTTTGAACTAAAAATTAGAAATGTACAGAAAACGATGGCCAAATAAGGAAGGCATTCCAAATTTCTTGATCAAGAATGATTGAATGACGACGTTGTAATAACTATGTGTTGGTGCCAGGTGGGTGCTGGAAATATCGGGGGGAGCACTTTGTAAAGAATGATTGTCTGGCCGCTATGCTGAACACCTGAAACTAACATGAAATAATATTGAATGTGAACTGTGGTTGAAAAATAAAATTTAAATGAAAAACTCAGTTGACCAAAAAAAAAAAAAAAGTAATGTCTTAGTATTATAACTGAAAAAATGAAAGGGTGATTGAGCGAGGCACCCTGAGAGTAATTGGTCCGGTACAGCGCGCCTTTATTTTCAAACCCTGCCAAAAACGGGGTTGCAAGGTGAAGCAAAGTAGTCTCAGAGGTTAGATTTTCCGATTTATAGTCCTGAGTTCTTCCCACTAGGCCAAGCTCCATTACTTTTGGAACGTTTGCTACAGTAGGTCTGAGTTGGTTCAGGTGGCTGATTTAAAGTGTCACTCTTAGTATTGGGACACGGATATCAGAACTCGAATTGGTGATTTTTCTAGTAGTCCTTTGCAGTATGTTTCTGTCTGTGGTGCCATTGTTCATCCCAGCATTTTATGAATTATTATCAAGTAAGATAATGAAAGCATGTTTACTGTGTTTGTTACTTTTTGTCAACTGCAGAACCCTTTCTTCTGTTGCCCCCCACGCGGCATCGGGTGTACCCTTTGGTCAGCTGCTGACAGGTTATTTCACCCTCAGTTATGTATTCACCCTTGCGTCTCCCTGTCCAGCAGGCAGCGGTAGGTCTCAATTTCCAGCTCCAGGCGGCCTTTGACGTTCAGCAGCCGCTGGTGGTCCGCGTCCTGGCGCTGGGTGTCCGCGCGCACCCGCAGCAGTTGCCCCTCCAGGCTGCTGAGGAGCTGTTGGATCTGGGACAGCTGGCCGCAGTAGTCGCCCTCGGTTTGGGCCAAGGAGTCCTCCAGGGATTTCTTCTGCAGGTGGGAGAGAAATGGCACAGAGATAACCATGGGGTCGGGGGAGGACTGAGAGGAGGAAGACTGCCAACGGCCTAGCATAGTTGGGATGCAATGTTTTCTTTGGAAGTTGAAACGATGCTGTGCCTTTTTGCGCGGTCCCTACCTTGGCGAGCTGAGACTGGAGCCCGATCTCCAGGTTTTGAAAGGCGTGTCTCAAATCGGTGACCTCGCTCTTGCTGGCCTGAAGCTGCTCAGTGTTGGTGCTGATCTCCTTCTTGAGCTCTCGGCTCTGCCACGGAAAAGCGGGGCAGGTGGACTTGAGTGGGTGCTGCTGTGAACGGTCTTTTCTGCCCATGTATTAAAGGAAGACTTTTGTTTTTGTTAGCAGTACCTTTTCAATGAACCAGGCTTCCTTCCGGCTCTGCTCAGCGATGGCTTCATACTGTGCCCTCATGTTGCTGAGAAGCCTGGTGAGGTCCACTCCTGGGGCAGCATCCATTTCTACCCTGACCTGGCCTGGGCCATCACACCGGAGGCTTCGGTGCTCCTGGGAACAGCAAGTGAGAGAGGGGTGCAGGGACCCATTATGAATTTTGTGGGCCTCTTCGTTTATAAAAAATATTATACATTATATTTTATGATTGAGTTGGTATAAGACAAACATATTAATGCAATATGTTAAGACATTTTTTACCTAAAGACTAATATTTTTAAATTTGATGTATTATTGTTATTTTTAACTTTACTTTTTCCTTTGATTTTAAAAGAACTTAAAGCATTTTCCTGGGCCCCTGAACTTAACCGTAGGCCCTAGGTGCCGTGCCTACCACACCTAATGGATGAGTTCCCCTGCCTCTTGGGGTTTAGGGCCTTCTTATGCATCTGGCCTGGTAGAAACAACACACTTGGGGGTTTCAGCTCCAGCCGCCAAAGTGGCGGCAGCAGGCAGTACCTAGGCCCGCTCACCGTTTGTATCACAGTCATTGATTTCCAGTAGGAAGCTCGTTAGAAAGCCTGTTGGTAGAGTCGTGATTACTGTCTACTCGCTATGCTAGGCTCTGACCGGCACTGTGGCATATCAGCGTCCACGTGTGAACCACATGGGGCCTAGCCTGTTTCTCTAACATATGTAACAGGTACTATGGGTAGACTTCTGATTTTTAACTTTAAAAGTACTATATTAAATAAGAAAAATCACTAGATCAGGGTAATTAAAGTCCTTATTCTCCTTATCTAATAATGAACATGACAAAATCAGAAACTGGCTTTAATCTGGTAAACTTTAACAGGAGCTACCATCAGCTACCAGCAGCAGCTAACACAACAACAGTAACAACACACACACATGCGTGCGCACACACACAGAAATTCAAATCAAATGGCCATTTTAACAGGCAAATGAATCCTCCTTGTCTGTTCTAACTCTAAATTTGTAACTTTGAAACTAAAGCTGCCTTTCCTGGCTGACCTCCTCGTGGTTCTTCCTCAGGTAGGCCAACTCCTCCTTCAGGCTCTCGAACTGCATCTCCAGGTCGGCCCTGGCCAGGGTCAGCGTGTCCCGCTCCCTGCGCAGGCCGCTGGTGTGGGCCTCCACGCTCACGAGCAGGGCGAGCTCCGTCTCGTACCTGAAAACCAAGTGCAAAGCAGTTTGGGGAATCAGCACACCCATGTGAATGCCATCTTCAAGGCGATTTTGTGCATAAATCCGCACGACTATTTTAAAATGGCAGCATTGCCCTGTGTGATTGTTTTTGTTTTTATGACTTTTTCCTTCTGTTTTTCATGGTAGTTTACCGCTCAGTCAGAGAAAAGTGAAAGAAATTATGAGGAGATGATACTTTTCTACCAGCTATGAACCCAAATAGCACTGTGTCCCAGGGAACAATTTCCCTTTGGCTGGCTTCCCTGGTAGGAGCAGTAGCATTCCTTCTCTAGGTGAAGTTTCAGACAGAATCCTAAAAGCAGTCAAAAATAAAATAATAATTAGTCTCTCTTTTTTTTTTGCTTAACTTTTACTCATGATTTAATTTAAAACAGTGATACTTCTTCGGTTGCTTTTATCAAGATTTTACAGGTTCAGGGTCATCTGCCCCCCAACATCCTGTGTGGAAATTTTGTGGAGCAAAAAGAACATTAGTATTTCTTCTTTACGTCTGGAGGGAGGAGTATGGGAAAGGAAGAGAAAATATAAAAATAAGTGCATAGTTAATATTTTAGGTGTATGTGTCATCAAGAAAAAGATCATTTCATTTAGCTCTGGAGCAAAAACATTATTAATTCACTTTGACACATGGAGGGTCGAGGTTTATAGGACGTCGGTGGAATTATCACGTCACGCCAGGAGTCGATAGCGAATTACAAAGACGGTGACCCACAGTCATAATTTAAGCAACTTACCCTTAAGGACGTGCAATGTCTAAGTCGCGTTCGAATGTAGTTACTTTCTAGAACGCCCAATGAAATTTACCAAAACTCTTAAGTGTGTGGAGCAGGTGAACTGTGGAAAATTTGAAACATTTGCCATCACCGAAGGCAGAAGAATAGGAATAAAAAGAAATGGTGGGACATGGCAGTTTTCATTCCCCTTTTATTCTGCTCACTTAATTCTAAAGTCGCCAGCAGCCAGCCGTGCATTGTCGATCTGCAAGATGAGCCGGGCATTTCCAACCCTGGCAGAAATGATCTGGCAAAATAGGGAAAGACAAACAAAATGAGACCCTAAAATATCAGCATTATACAAATATACTTTTGACAGGAAATTCTTAGATGATTAAAATGCTATTTTATTAAGAGTTTAAGACAACTTAATTTTTTACAGAACATTTTTATAGAATATTTAAAAATTAAGGAACATATATTTCCTACAGAAAGATAGTGGAGATAGATTCACTTTATAGTAAATGATAAAATGAAACTAAATATCTTGATATGAGAAATGGTTCCAAATATAAGTTGAATTGAAAAAAATATCTAAGTTTTAGGTGATTATCAATGTAAAAAATTGTAATAGCAAAAAAGAAAAATAAAACAACTTCCAAAGCCCCTCCAAAAATCATATTCTTACCTTATTCCTGAGGTCTTCAATCAGTGGATAATATTTGCTGTGATTGCTCTGTGACCCAGGGTCTTCAGTCCTAGATCCTCGTGTTTCGTACCATTCTTGAATTTTGTTTTCTAGCCCAGCATTAGCCTCTTCTAGAGCTTGAACCTTGTCCAGGTAGGAAGCCAATCTAGCATTAAGATTTTGCATGGTTTCCTTTTCTGATCCAGAAAGAATGCCGCCACCGTTGCCAGGGAGAACACCTAGAGAGCCCCCTCCTTGTCCAAATCCAATCCCCCAGCCTCCAAATCCACCCCCCAGGCCTCCCCCATAAGCAGTGCCCAGTCCTGCAAAGGGACTTCCAGAGCTACCACCAAAGCCAGAACTAGAACTAAACATGGGAGCAGCAGAAACACCTCCCCCATAGCTGCCTCCAAAGCCAAGGGCACTTCGCCCATGGTCACTTCCACCAGTGGAAGCAGACATGCCCTGGTCTCTGCCCAGTGTCCCACTCTGGGGATACAGCCGCCTGGACAGCCCAGGGTTCTGCCCTGAGAGGGACATGGTGGTGCTGGAGGGACCCGCAGCCTGGGGAAGGTGGCCGCGGCCTGAGAGGAGGCAGTGTCAGCCAGGCAGAAAGGTTCCCTTTTATAGATCATGAAATGGGTGGCACAGTTGAAAAGTTTACTCTCCCCATTCAAAAACCAGTGTCCCCTCCTTTTTTAACCAGCTCAACACCTAAATGATTAATGTATATTGAAAACTCATTGGTATAGAAATAATTGAATAATTGTGTGCCTGTTACATATTTGATATATCAAAAAAAAAAAAAAAGAAAGAAAAAGAAAAAGAAATCTGGGTGGAGTAGAGATAGGTTGTCACATGGAATATTTCTTCTCCAAGTTATTCTATTGCCTGTAGCCTCAGCATTTCCCGGTGTCTTGTACACAGTAGGAAAGTAATGAGTGATTTTTGAATGGATAAATTAATGAATACTTCTTTCTCAATCTTAAGCTTTTTGAAGTTCTTCACTCATACTTTCTGTGTGTTTCCTTTAGACAACTCAGTGTAAACCATGCAGTGGTGGTCCAGTCTATCTCCTAGGGGACATTGTGTTAGAAGTCACTAGGAAATGCAGCAGTGGAAGGGGAAGGAATGCGTTTTCCAGACTGGTACTGGAATTTGAATTGTTAAGGATTTAAAAAACTTGTCATTAGGAGGTTGCATAGTTTCTTCTTTTCTGATTCAGAAAGCAGATGCCTTAAACACTGAAAAGTGCTATTTTGGGGTAGGATATTATGGTGTTTTCAGCAGATGTTCCTTTGCATAAGAATTGGCCTTCTTAGTGATCTCCGTGAAATCAGGAGCCTGGTTCGATTGTTCACTAGCGTTGCTAGTTTCTCAAAATATGACTGTTAGGAGCAAGCAAGCGGGATTCCCCAATAAGGAGGCTTTAAGCTGCAGGTTGGCAGAAATTGCATATTCTCATTTACAACAGTTATGTGTAGAAAGAATGCAGCAATCTCATGCAGACAGCTCGGTGAAAGAGGCCATGGTCTATCCACTCATTTCCTGAGAGAATGAAAACTCATTAAGCGGAAATGCCCGGGGCCTCAGTCATGATGGAGACTTTCCCCAAGGGTCCCTTTCATGTACAACCACAAGCGTGTTGGCTGAGCTTGTCTTTGAATCGTTATTGTGTACTTCCTATTTCTAGATTCCGGGCCAGGTGAACTACAGGCCTTATTTTTAACCTTCACGGCAACTACCTTCGGTGGACCCTTTTATCTCATGTCACAAACGAGCAGTCTGAGGGTCAGGATGGTAAGTGGCCTCTGAAAGGCCACACAGCCTGAAGGTAGCAAAGGTGGAACTCAGGTTTGCAGCCAGTGCCTTCTGTGGGTGACACAACCCTGCTGCTTACAGTGAAAACAAAAAGGAGAAAGGGCCGCTCTGACCCCCCGCCCCCCGAGCTGGGAGACGGGGCTTCTGCCTGCACCCCAACCACGAGTGCTAGCTTTTTCCTTTTCAAAAAAGCTTTCTCCTTGAATTTCATTTCTCAGTGTAGGGGCTGAGACCCAGAGATCTATTCTCAGGGTTTATAAGAAATGACACCGTCTGCGATGTCATGGAAACACAGAGGCAAATGTGGTTTTAGTTATACTTCTGGCATCTAACGGCATCTCCAGAGATCTTATGAAGTAGTAGTAGTAGTTGAACTTGGTCTGCCCGCACAGGAGCTTGACGCTATGGTTGTAAGTTATCAGCCACTCACAAGCAAAGTGGTTCTGTTTTATTGCCATAGAAATGAAAACAGGCTGTCATTTGCTTACAGAGTCAGAGGAATGTGCCCAAGTCAGAACTGCAGCTTAGTGATAGGACCACAAAATACAGGAATACGGTTAACTTCAGTTTTTGAACTTGGAACCAATTTTGTGTTGAAATATATACTTCCCACCTCTGATGCATATAGGTAAATTTAAATACTTTTGCTCAATATCTATACATTGTGTTTACACATTTAATCTTTATGCTTCTGTATGTATTATATGTTATCCTAGTCTGTAAATTTCTCAGGTAGGGACTATGTTTAATTTGTTTTTTTATCCTGACTTATAGCCTAATGTTTGGCTAAACTTTATGCGGGCATTCCTGGAGTTATTTCACTTGAAAGAACTTAATCCTTAATACGATCCTTAATATGCTTGAATGTGTCATTTAAAATTCATTTCATTTGAAAATGACTTTGCTCTACTTTACTGGTGTGCTTTGAACAAGATTTATTCTGACTGCAATTATAAATGGGGAGGACCTTCAGAAGTTAAAAGGAGAAATATTTCTTCTCTAGTGACTATTTTGGGGGATGGAGGGAGGGCTAAATTAAATAATTAAGCCTTTAATCTGGAGTTTTGACAAGTGAAAATAATTTTCTTTGACAGCTGTAAAAATGTAGGAAGGTTGGAATGAATAAAACAGAAACAATCTTGGTCTTGTTGGTAAAGTGATTATATAAGTTGAGGCTGAGAGGAAAATGACTGGAACCAGGGTGAACTGTTCCAAAGAATTGTCTTCGCTTTTGTAGAGTTTAGGGAATCCTTGCAATGGAGATAATTATGTGGTATTTGTGAATCTTTAAATTTTTATTAAGTGAAACGTGTGCTCATCTTCTCATGTCAGATTGGTTACTTTCCTGGTCTTTGTGGAACTTTGCACCTGAGTTAAAGACAGAAAGACCTGCCACTTTCTGCACTTTGCTGATCACGTGGTCATTACACCTTACACTTCTGCTTTGAATAAATTTTGAGATTCTGTGAGTGAGTGAAGGAATATTGATGTTTTATGCTGTGCTTTTGAGCTGAGGATGAACAAGAACCCCAGGGGTTACACTTGGGGATGAGTTCTTGGGCTTCAGAGTTCAATGGTTTTCAAAAGCAGGGGAGGCTTGTATGTGGTGAGAGAGAGGAAGAGGAAGATAAAATAAAACGCTGATAAGGGGGATCTTAGAAGTGAGTCTAGCGGGGAGAAAACAGATGTTTGAAGGGAAATTTTAAAAAATAGAAATCACTTACTAGTGCTTTACATTGGAAATGTTATTTGAGGGTGTAATCAGGCACTTGAGACTATCCCCATGTGAGTAAGGGCGAGGGCTGAGGGTGTCCACTGGTCAAGGTTTGCTTTTATGTAATTCTGTGTTATTGTTCTTTGTAGATGTTGTAAGGCTTTGTGGAGAAGCAGTTCCTAAGGCCCAGAAAAAATAGTTCTGCCACCCTGACCTCACCTCTAGGGATTCTCTATGAGGGCAATAGCTTAACTGCTGCATTGACGTTTTCATATAAAGCCATGACATGTATTAATGATGATTCTAATGTGTGACGAAGAGACCTATACTTAAGGACTGCAAATCCTCTGGATCAGTATGCCTGTCAGAGATAGGAGCGTGCTGTTCTTAGCTCACGGGTGAGGCCTAGATACCCCGAGATTAATGCCTCACTTTCACACGGTAACTCCTGGTCGAACCAGAGGCAGACAGTCTGGCTCCACGTGCGTGCGTGATGTTGCCACTTTCACGGACAGATTACTTGGAAGACACTAGAGAGAGACCAAAAGGCAAGGATAAACCTTCATTTTTATGATTGGAAATTGAGTTAAAAATAATGATTCTACCTCTTTTTCACAAAGCATCATTATTGTCTTACGGCGATGGCTGTGCCTAGTGAATTTCAAACCTATCTCCCGTAGGGTTTTTTGTTGATCAGACCCACAGTCTCTGGTATTTGCATGGCAAAGTGTCAGGCTATTCTGGAATGTGTGCTGGTAGGTGAAAAAGGATTCACTTCTAAAAGTTCTTTAAAAGCAATTAATTAAGTGGAGTGACTTGGAAGGAAATTAAGAAAACAAGAGTGAAACCACTTCACTTCTTTGAAAAGCAAAGGATGGAGAGCGGGAAACGAACATCGGTTCTGACAAATGTGCGGAAGCAAGTCTTGTGTGTGATGTCAGCTGGGCATTTGTGGAAATCGGGGGTTGTAAGTATCTGGCTAGTGAAAATGACAATTAGAAAACAACAAAACGACTAAGGATAGGCAAATGCTCACTTCAGGTGTGACTCAGTAATTGCCATGTGATTTGCTGCTTAACAGGGTATCAAGGTTTGACTTTGTATAGTTCTGTGTCATTCTTCTTTTCAGATGTTTGAAGGCTTTGCGTAGAAGTAATTCCCAAAGCCCAGAATGACTTTAGACCAACGAGCCTGTTCCATTACTTGTTAGCTGTTAATTTGGGAAAGTACTTACTTCATGTCTTCATACATAACCCTCGCTTGTCCTCACGATGGGGATAATACGATAAGGTCAAGTCACACAAAATTGCTATTTCTGAAGGTCAAAAATGATCACATATTCTCAAGTACATTTGATTCAACTAGATAGCTTCTGCCTTATAGCGTTTATTGTGAAGATTAAATAAGAAATGGCTATAAAATGTCTGGCACTCTCTTTAGTTCATAGCAAGTGCTCAACAAATGGTAGATATTACTCGTAAGTGAATCAGATTATTATTTTTAATATAGTAATCACTCTCAAAATTTTATTTACTTCCAAACTTATATATCAAACCCTGAATCCTAACTATTCATTTACTAGAATACAATGATAGAGGAAAAGTTAATTTTAGAGTAATAACTGCAAGGCAGTTATTGCTCACTACAATGCAAAAAGGGTGAGACTACAATAGGCATGTTTTTGTATCTGGCCTCTTTCATTTAGCATAATGCCTTCAAGGTTCATCCACATTGTAGCATGTGTAAGAACTTCATTCTTTTTTAGTGCCGAATAATATTCTATTGTATGCACATATCACATTTTGTTTATCTCTTCATCAGCTGCTATACATTTGAGTTGTTTCCATTTCTGGGCTGTTATGAATAATGCTACTATAAACAATTGCAAAAGAACACATTGCGTGATTCTATTTATATGAAATGTCCAGATTAGGCAAATCTGTTCAGGGAGGCAGCGGGTCAGTGGTTGTCGGGGGCTAGGAGCATGAAGAGCGGGGTGACGGCTCAAGAGGTTGCTTTTCGGGATGATGAAATGCTCTAAAATTACGTGGTGGTCATGGCTGCCCAGTTCTGGGAACATGCTAAAGACCACTGACTGGTACACTTGTGTGGCATGTGAGTTATAACTCATTAAAGCTCTTACAAAAAAGAGTGAGAAACAACATTACATAATATATGTATACCACATAAAAAAGAGAGAAGCCGAAGATTTATGCAGTTTATTATCATCAGGAGAAACATTCTTCTTTGAGAAGGTTTTCACTAATTAATTTTGCTTTTCATCTACTCCCACTTCAAGCATAATGTACTTCCATCTTATCCTGCTCAGCATTTATGATTGGAATTTGACTTTTAAATTATTCAAAGAGCTGAATTGAGTTTTAAAAGGCAGTGGAGACAATGAAAAAACGCTGATATGATTCAAAGCTAGCAGAATTGTGCTGATACTGAAAATTTTATGGAATTAACCAAGAAATTACCTTAATCAAGAATCCAGGGGCCCCAGAATGGAGATTTTACAATTCAGAAACAGGAAAAGTTAGAGAGAGAGAGAGATTGATTTATTTGCATTAGCCTCTCTGCTATATGAGTTTAACATAGTTGAAATGTGCTATAATTTTCAGGAACATTAATGAATTGATATTAGGAGGTCTGTAGCTTGTAATTAATGCGTTTTGTGGTAAAGATGGCAGTAATGATGTTTGAATATCTTAATGCTCATTGGATTTCATTTTTGCAGGAAGTTTGCAGCTCTTTTGAGTGAAACATTTATGTTCAAATGGAGACTGATAAATGCCCCACCCCCCATTGCTAGAAAGCATTAATGGTGCTTTCTGATGGCCACTGACTTTCAGGGAGTAAAAATTATAGCTGAACTTCTTTCAAGACCTCAGCAGCGTCTCCTTCCGGCAGGTGTTTACATATTTTCTTCCATCTCTTTGACTTGAGATGACACGACCTTGCCGTCCACTATTTCTTGCACGACTGTCGTGACCTTCCTGGCTTTCTTTATATCTGAAATTTAGATTTAAATGTAACATGTTAATTCGGACACATAACCCTGCTGGTTTATAATATTCAACTTTTAGTTATTATTTTGTAGTTATTTCCTTCTTTTGGAAAAAAGTCTAACGGTTCTCTTTCTTAAATGATCTTAAGCCTGTTTAAAAAATAAGTGCTGAAAATGTGCCCCTCTCTCCAGTTATACCTTTTCTACTCTTCCCACTCCAAGGAGAAATATGCAGTTTTGAATTAAGCAAGACGAATCTTTTAATCTTAGTTTTCATTTTCAGGATCTCAGGATATCTCAGGACAGCAACAGCATGGGGCCAGAAAATCACCCCACCATAGAGAGTGTGACAAATTTCCCGCAGGGAGGCTCTTTACGTGATGTGCTTGCTTTTCAGAATCCCTAGGGCAACGTCTGCTCACTTGGGAGCTGGTCTCCCTTTACTTTTCACCAGACACAAATAGTAAGTGGCCAGCTTTTGAGTGAGAATTTGGTCTTACAGGAAGTGTATGAAAATTGGGGCACTTACCTATTTTCTCCTCCAGGGTGCTTACTGGATCTATAGACCTGTATCTTTTTTTTTTTTTTAAGAAAAGAAAAAGAAACAGAAAAAAGTGTTACTGCCATTTTGAAAATGAAGCAAGGACCTGCCTTTCTTTGTTTTAAAATAAAGTCTGAGCGATGTGTGTTTCAATCCTGTGTTTTTATATTTTTCCCTTTTACGATGCTTGTTTCTTCTAACTCGAGTGTCTTACTTTTTAACTTGAAAAATCCATAGTTTCAAAACTGACCCACTTCACCTATGCTAGGAGTTTTTCTAATTAAAGTAACAAAACTACAATGGAAGTTGAGGTCTCTGTTCTCTTGCTGACTTGTCTGGGGGAGGCATTGAAGACAGTGGCTGCCGCAACACGGAGGATTCTCAGACTGGTTCCCACAGACCTCTGTGGCCTGTTGTGCAATTCATGACCTCTCCATGAGAATTTTAAAGTTACTGTGCTTTCAATTATGTATTAATTATACAAATTAACATTAGAATAATCTGTATCATCTGTATAACCATCTTCTAACTCTATGTCACAACACAACCTCAAGTACAAAGTCTGTGTGTGGTATTTTTGGGATGTGTGTACTTTTGGGTATATTTTTGTTTTGTTGCTAGTGCTGGTGTACATGTGTGTGTAATTGATTTTGTGCTGGGGATTGCACTGATGCTTAGGAATGAGTGAGAGGGTATAATGTGCAGACATTAAAATAGCACAGCATGTATGTAGTCATTGATGCATATCCCTTGATTCTAAGAACCTTACACTGTATCTTCTCCTTCCAGAAGGCGTCGGTAAGTAGCAATTTCCTGCTCAAGCCGGGTCTTTAAGTCAAGGAGGTCCATGTATTCCAAGCTCTGGCGCTCGGCTTCAGTCCGAATCTGCAGCAGTTGGGCCTCTAAGGAGTTAAGCAGTGCCTGGATGGTGGCCAGCTGCCCATGGTAACGGGCATTGACGTCTTGCAGTGTCCTCTCCAAAGAGTCTTTCTATGAGCACAAGAAAAAGGGGATGTTTCTTACCTGAGGCCTTGATATAAGAGGCAGCTCAATTTTAATATCCTTTGAGAGGAATTTGTGCAGCTAGCTAGGGTAGGCATCACGTGTATTTCTAGCTTTATCTCCCTCTGTTTTCACCTAGGCAATGCCAGTGGGCCAGCTGGGATCACTAGCTCTTGGGGGTTTTGTTTGTTTTTAGTTTTGCATTCACTGTTCTCTTCCTGTATATTGTATTATTGTCCTCAATATTTGCTTCCCTCCCTGCCATTCATGAGGCCCCTCCGCGTGGATTATTAGACGTCCTCATTTCTCTGACACCAGGCGAGGTCATCCATCTTTCTCCGGCAGATGAAATGCAAGTGAAACTGACAAATGCCTTTTTGGAGAAGCTTTAAGAGTGATCCCACGTCTGACTATTGCTGCTTTCAAAGTGCCACAACACTGCAGCCAAACCATGGTGGATGCAGTGTTGTGGTTAGACCCTAGGATTCTGGGATGGGGACCACAGCACAGTGTATCGTGCCTTGGCTGATTTGCTTAGCCTGCAATGTCTTCACCCCTATTCTTCAGCTTCAAATTCATCTTAAGTTTTCAGATCTAGTATAAATGTTACTTTCCCTGGGATTTCTTCCAGATCTACTTCCTCTGCATCCTTGCAGTACATTCCCCTTTTCCGTGATTTCTTTCTGTCCTTTAATTATAATCAGTTGTTGGGCTTGTTTCCCTGCCAGCTCTGCAAGGGGAGGGGTTAATTTCTATAGGTCTTAGCATTTCTAAAGTTCCCAACACAAGCACTTAGTAGACACACAGGGCACTGAGAACTGGGAGTTAGGTGCACTTACCATGCTGAGATGGGACTGGAGCTCTATCTCCACGGTCTGGTAGGATTGTCTCAGCTTCTTGGCTTCAGCCTCAGCTTCTTTTAACTCATTAGTGTCTACAATGACTTGTTGCTGCACAGACTCAATCTAAAATTCCAAAAATGAAAAAATAAATAAGGGAAAAAAGGAAGGAAGGAAGGAAAAGAATGACCTCTTTTTGGAGGACAAGTTCAACACATTTGCTTATCCTTTGGAATTATGCTATTACCTGTATCTCGTACTCTTCTTTGACCTTCAGGAGGTTCTCTTGGGCTAGGGCTTCATACTTCTTCCTCATTTCATCCATGATGGCGCCGAGGTTCAGGCCTGGGGCAGCCTTCAGCTCCACGTTGACAGTTTTGCCCAGCTGTGTGCGCAGGCTGTCCACTTCCTACGAGAATGAAAATCCTGGTCGGTTAGAGTCTGAAGGCTATGGGCAGAAAAGACGTAATAAGCTTTACGGCTTCCTTCACTGGGAGTGAATTTAAAAAAGGAAGAAAGTAATAACTTAGGCAGGGTGGTTTTGTTTTTTTTTTAATGGTCTGGGCATTGCTCTAAGTTATTTAACCCCGACAGGAACCTTATGAAAAGTAGTTAGGGGTGACATCATCATTACGGTCACCTTCATCGCTATCACCGTGCCCGCCGAATCTCCCTCCTCCTATTTCTCCTCCTCTTCCTCAGGACTAATGTAGCCATTCCATCATTCCCAGTACCACTTCTGAATATTTTCTTACCTCCTGATGTTCTTTTTTGAGGAGGGCCAGTTCTTTTTTCAGTTCATCAACTTGAATCTCCAGGTCTGCTTTGTGCAGGGTGAGGTCTTCCGCGACCTTAGCTAGGCCCCGGACGTCAGCCTCCACTGCGAGATGCAGCCCTCTCTCAGTCTCATACCTGTGGATTAATTAAGAAGCAGAGATAACTGAGTCTGTCTGAAGCCATTACAGAAGAGATAATCTTAATCTTAATATAGTAAGATGGATTTTTATGTGGTGTATGAGGATATCAACGTCAATACCTCATTGTTGTCCCTCTTTATACGTTTTGAAAATGTTCATGGGAACCTGAGAATCAGATACTTTGCCTCCTAATATAATCTTTGTAATCTGGTTAAGAAAGCAATCTGGAATTACTTTAAAGAGTTCCTAAACTCTACGATGTATTTAAAAAGAATTTTTAAAAAGTTTGCTTAATTACTGTGCTAGCAAAGGGTTTTTATTACTGATTTAAAAAATGGTTAGTTAAATTTACTTAATGAAAATACATGATCAATTTATTTTTATTACTTTGTAAACCGATGCATCCAAAGTAAATTTTCTTAAAAATTTATGCATTCTCTTCTACAATTTTACATACTCCCATTTTTATTAAAATAGTAAAGTTTAAAAAAAAATACTGCAATAGGACCCTCAGATGTTAACTGGAATTAATGAATTTTTACTGCTTTAATCTTCAGATCTGCTTTCATATTTCCTTCTTTTTGATCCCGTGTAGCATTAAGATGCCACACTTTTAGCCCTAGCTGGTGTGGCTCAGTGGATTGAGTGCTGGCCTGCGAACCAAAGGGTCACTGGTTTGAATCCCAGTCAGGAAACATGCCTGGGTTGCAGGCCAGGTCCCCAGTGCGGGGGTGTGCAAGAGGCAACCACACATTAATGTTTCTCTCCCTCTCTTTCTCCCTCCCTTCCCCTCTCTCTAAAAGATAAATGAATGAAATCTTAAAAAAAAAAAGATGCCACCCTGTTAAAACATAAAGGACTTTTTAGTGCAGATGCATTGTACAAATTCAGGTACAGTGTAGAAGCAGTTTATGAAGAATAACTGATCGCATGTACTGTGTTACATCCATAAGATAGCACAACTTCAACTGATTCAATCACAGCCCTTGTCCTTCCGTTGGTCAGACTGTATTGTAAAACACTGGCAAACTAGAAAGCATCAAGAGTCATCCCTGGAACCCCTGGTCATACATTTGTAGGCAGTTGAAGGAACATGGATGACTCACTTGCAGAATCAGGAAGGCAGGCAAATGACTGTCTTTAGATAATGGAAGGGCACTTACTCAGATGGGGAGTTTTAAATTGCTTTGTTATTATTCCAAAGGGCAGAGTGAGGCTCAATATGTGAGAAGGTAGATGCCAGGTTACTAAAAAAGAACATTCTAGCAACTAGAGCTAAATGGTGAGAACAGTAGTAGTTACTGGGGGTGTTTAGTTACACGTTTGCGTGGCCAAATCTTAAGACCATGGGAGGGGGAAGTCCAGCTCTAAGTGCTGGGCTAGACCAGATAGTTTCTAACAGCCTTTAAATCCAAGATTTTGGAAATATTTAGTGGTAGCTCCTTGACCAACAATGGAAAGCTGGGTGTCATGAAGGACTGCTAAAAGAAATTCCTTTTGAGGAAGTTTTGCCAAGGCATTAGAGAACCTACTTCAGTCTGAAGTCCTCAGCAGCCAGTTTAGTATTGTCAATTTTCAGGATCCACTGAGCTTTTTGCATTTGAGCGTCTTTAATCTGGAAAACACGTGAGAAAGAATGACATTTCCAACTGGATAGGAGTTTAAAAGGATGGCATTTAGCCTCAGATATGATTACTGTTATATCAAAGATGGTGTGCATTTCAGTAATTTCCACATGAAAATAGAACGGAAGAATAATGATATGGGTACTTAACATCATAGACTGGTAAAATGCAATGCTAGTCCCAGAGTTCAGTCACCTTCCTTGTGATTCTACCAAAGAGATTTTATTCATTCATTCATTCATTCATTCATTCATTCCTCACCCAAGGATATTTTTTTAATGAGCGAGAGAGAGGGGGAGAGAGAGAGAAATATTGATGTGAGAGAGAAACATTGATTGGTTATCTTCTGGTACGTGTCCTGAGTGGGAATCAAACTCCTAACCTGAGTGTGTGTCCTGACTGGGAACTGAGCCCATGACTTTTCAGTCTATGGGATGAAATAAGCCACACCGGCCAGGGCCCAAAGGAGGTTTGAATTCAACTTGATGCTTCAAAACTTATTGAGTGTTTTGCCTTTGATGTTGTTCCTGCTTAGAACATTCCTCTTAACTCCTCTTACTTGGTGAACTCCTCCTCCTCCTCCTCTATGTCTCAGCTTACACAGTCTTTGCTTCAAGCCTTCACAGTTTTCTCAAAACAGAACTGGGTGGATGGACTGCCTGTGCCCTCATCGCCCCACACAGCCCGCCATGCCCGCATTTGTCCCCCCTTGTGGGATAAGTGTGGCCTTTGTCCATGCCTGTTTCCCCCTAAATCACAATATGTTCACCGTCGTATTTCCCAGTGCCCAGCATGGTGGCTGATGCCGGGTCAATGTCTACTAACATTGGCTGATGAATGGACACTTGTTATGGGGTAGGAGTCGTGCTATGCCCTGGGGCTATCCGGATGGCTAAGCCCCTGCTTTTAAGAGGCTTTTACCTAATGGGTGAATTCTCTAAGATGCACATGGATCAGAAGTCTGCTTGTAGGAAATATTATAATGACATGTCTCTTTCAACCCGTCCTGGAGAGAGCTACCTTCCTTCCAATACTGGGTCTGTGCAGCTACATGGAAGAAATGGCAGTACTTATGGATTTGGGATGATCCAAAGTAGATTTAGAAACATGAACCATAAGAGAGGTAGGGGAGAAGTTTGGCTGATTTTGAATGTTTTTAGTGGGAGCCTGAGAAGGATGACCTGTTGGCAGAAAGGGCAACTTACATTTAAAAAATTTTTTTAGAGAGAGAGGGAAAGAGAGAAAGAGGGAGGAGAGGGAGGGAGAGGAAGAAACACCGATTTATTGTTTCACCTATTTATGCATTCATTGATTGCTTCCTATGGGTCCTGACTGGAGGTTGAACCTGCAACCTTGGCCTATTGGGACAATGCTCTAAGCAACTGAACTACCTGGCCAGGGATGCAATTTAAACATCTTTGTCTCTCATACCCACGCAGTTCCTGAAATTCCAAAGTAACTTCCTGTAGAATCTGAATCAAATATTACTGATGTCTAACACAACACAAGAAGAAGAGACCTGCTGGTCAATGGCCTTTGCTCTCAAGGAAAACAAAAATTAAAATAGAAAAGAAAAGGAAAGAGACACTTTTTTTTTTTTTATTAGATAAGAATATGAAAGCAGCGCAGGTGCTCTGCATCACATCTGAAATTTTCAGTTAGGAGCAAAGTCTTCTTTTAATCCACGCAATTGATAATGCAGAGAACTCCACCCTTCTTAGAGGATGTGGTTCTGATGCAGTTGCAATAAATTTGAATTGGGGGCAATAGAACATTTTATTACTGCAGAAGTGGTTTCTGCTAATGATGATCAGATGACTAAGCAGGGCATTTAAAAATCCAGGTGTCATTGAGACCAACACCCCTCCTCCCATTTTCACCGTGAATCACTCTATGATTGAAATCTGTGACACAGCATTCTAATACTTGTATTATACCATTTACATAAATGAAAGGGGAAAACTCTTTAAACTGACTAGGCTTTCAAAAGTTGATGAGACCTAGGTGAAAAACTAAGACAGATTTATTATCACTTAAAAAATTTAGCTCTTTTAGAAAAAAAAAAGGTTTACTATTCACTTAGCCTTGACCTGATAAACTATGACAAAAATACAGATTCTAAGCTTGGATGATAAAATTTTTATATTTTATATATAATTAGATTTAAAACATTTTTAAAAATATGATTCACAGTCATCCTATTAGGTAGTCAGTTATCCTACCACTAAGGGTAGATGATAGAAGACTATACCATTTTTATAGATAGAGTATTTTAGCCTAATTTGCTTTACAACATCCAATTGGGCCCCCCGAAAGTATATGCCCTCTTGACACATCATGCAGCTAAACAGTGGAGTAGAAGACATAGGCATCATCTCTCACCTGAGCCTGAAGCTCTTCGATTTGCTTGTAATACGCGCTGTAGTCCCGAGTGAGGCTGGGCACGTTGGTTTCGTACCACTGCTTGATCTGCATTTCAAGTTTGGTGTTGGATTGCTCCAGGGACCGTACTTTTTCTAGGTAGTTTGCCAGGCGGTCATTTAGGTTTCTCATGGCCATCTTCTCGTCGCCTAAAAACAGGTCCCCTCTGCTCCCATCAATCCCATATTTCACCACTTGTTTGGTGGTTGAGATGCGGGTGCCGTGGCCTCCAGCCCCTCCGTAGACGCTGGGTGCAACCCCCACGAGCATGCCCCCCTTCCTGTACGTGCCGACGACAGAGACCTGTGAGGAGGAACTCAGGCTTCTTTGGAGGCTTCTGCGTGTGTCCATTGTGGATTCTAGGAGGGAGCACCTGTAGCACCGGGATGGAGCAGAGCCTGTCTGTCTGTGGTGAATGAACCGACCTTTTATAACGTCCACAGCAAAGAAGCTCCTCCCCGGCTGATGTCTCACCTCAGCAGGGACGCCCCAGTCCACCAGGCCGGCTTCCTTTCTCCCCTTTGTGCCGCAGTCTGTTTAATTCCATTCCAGGAATTACCACTAGAGGCATTTCTTACAGGCTTTCCTCAGGGGTGATTTCTTTTTTTCAATAGAGGTAACAAAAGGAAACAGAAAGTGGTGTTCTTTTAGCCCTTGAGCCTGCCTTGGCATTTTTTTCATCCTAATATTCACATAAAGAATATTTGCAACCTCCATGAATAATTTAGGTACATAAAAAGACAGATGTGGCTACATAACAGTAAGTCACACTGGCGATCAAGAACAATGTTTTTTTTAACTTATTTTTTCTTTTTGGTGAGAACATTTAAGTTCTATTCTCTTAGTAAAGTTCAATTATACAATACAGTGTTATCAACTACAGTCACCACATTTTACATTAGATCCTCAGACAGTGTCCATCTTATAGCTGAAAATTTACTCTTTTACCGACCTCCCCGATCTCCTCCACCCCACAGCCCCTGGCAGCCACTTTGCTACTCTCTGTTTCAATGACTTTGACGACTTCTCTTCCTCGTTGTAGTCCTCCTCTTTCGGACTCCTCGTGTGAGTGATACCATACAGTACTAGTCTTTCTCTGCTTATTTCTTATGTCTTTCTCTTTGGCTTATTTCATGTAATGTGATGCCCTCAATGTCCATCCATGTTGCAAATGGCAGGATTTCCTTTTGTAAATACACACACACACACACACACACACATCATACATCAACAAGACTGGACATGCCATAAGCAGGTCTTACTATTTATTAAGGAGCTCTAAGTTACTTTGCAAATAAATGTCACAGCTTAAACCTACATGGAAGAACTTTTTATAAACACATGGACTATGTTCTTCTCTGTATGTGTACTCACAAAATTATTATTTTTTTGTTATTTATTAATGGGGGAGAAGTTTTGATGAAAGTCATTAGAAAGTTGTACTGTTTAAATACACACATTTTGCAGTGATTTAGTTTCAGCTAAAAGGTTCATACACCAAGACATATGATCAAGATGTGTAGATGCATTATTTAAATGAAGAGTTAGCTTTATAACTAGAAAGGAATATAAGTGCAGTTATTAAACATAAATAATTTGTGAAGTTCTCTTCTTTAGCACAATTCTTCCTTATGTCTGGACCAATTATGTTTAAGTGAAAGATTTAAAATTTCATTAGAATAGTTAAAATCATTTTGAATATTTTGGAGAAATTGCTTTGTCTATGTATTAGTCTACAGTTTTTTTTGGCTGGCATTTGTAGGTTTTTGAGATTTTAAATTTAAACTAAATATGAGATATAAGCACTATTTTATGGGGTTCAATCATGCAATCGACATATTGGAGTAGAAAAATCCCTATTGTGATGACTTCCACATATTCATGTAAGGGCAGGAGAATTGGATGTCTCTGCTATCACACTGAGTTTTATGCTTTGGTAGATTTTTATATCTTATAATATGATCACAGGAAATCAGGGTAGTATTTCATAGCAGTTAATTTTTCTGAATTATACTTGAGGATTAGATACAGAGCCTGTTGACTCTTGTTGAAAGATATGCCATGAATTTACAACCCTTGATATTCCAGGCTGTTGGATGACTACATCTGTAAATAAATATTTATTACATCCCTACTTCCTTATAACTAATAGGAGGCACATTTTTACCCCTGAGACTCTGCTGAGGGAGTTAATGATTAATGTTAAGAATTATACAGTGTTTTGGAGAGTTATCCTAAGCACTGTAGTTTTCAGAGGACTTTGAATTTTTCCCCCCAAGTATGGACAAGCTATTGCAGCCCAAATGTGATACACAGAGAATTTGCAATCTCTTGTAGGGGAGGTGGTTGTAGTCCCCAGACATCTCAGTTAGGATACATTGCTCTGGTTGGTTGAGGTGGGTGGCATATAGGAATTGTGGGTGTGTGTAAGCACTGTGGTTCTTGATACCTGACTTAACACAAAGTCAGAAAAAATCATGGCCTGTGGTGCTTTAAAAACTGGTGTACTTAGTGAAATAGTTACAAATGAAATGATATGATACCTTTGATTAGCTTCAAAATAATATGGGAGGGAGGGAGAAGGAGGGTAGAAGTGTAGGTGGAGGAAGTTTGGCCATGAGTTACTTGTTGAAACTAGGAAATGGATACATGGAGATTTACTATATTAACTACTCTAGTGTTTGAAAATTTCTGTATCAAAACATTTAAGGATCTTGATGCAGTCAACTTACATTATTGTATTTTACACATTTAATCTGGCATGTTCAAGTTTTGATTTGTACTTATTTGATAATTCTGCCCTACTTCAGTGAGTTGGTAGTTTTGTTGTCTCATAGTGGCTTACACATAGTAGGCAGTTGATATCTACTTACCGTGTGAATAACAAATGAGTGAGTGAATAAAAGAGCTGATGCCCAACTTCAAGGAAAAGAAGAAGTATTTGTGAGAGGTTCTCTGTGCCCATTGACTGCTGTTTCTGATAGTCGTGTTAAGAAAGTAAAAGAGTTGCAACTCAGGACTTTAATGACATGGAGTATGGCAGCCTGGGTATCCTTAATAACACTGCCTCATATGGTCCTAATGGAAACAACTCAAGTAGGTCACTTATTTATTCTTCCCTCCCTCCCTCCTCCCTCCCTCCCTCCCTCCCTCCCTCCCTCCTTCCTTCCTTCCTTCCTTCCTTCCTTCCTTCCTTCCTTCCTTCCTTCCTTCCTTCCTTCCCCCTCCTTCCTCTATATGTCTATATATCTATGTATGTATTTATCTATTTTTTCAAATCTGTTGCAGACCTACTATGAAAGAAGACACTCTTCAGAGATCAAAAAGAGAATGAAAACAGAAACCTTAGGAGAGAAGTGAGAAAGCTGTCTTGCACCCTGTGGGCTTCTGCTCGATCACGGGGAAGCTGAGCTTCCCTTATGACATCTGTAAAGGAGCAGGAGATAAGAGTTAGAGTCTAGGGCCTGCCTTAAGTGGGAATATTAACAGGAAATATCCACATAATCCTAGTATCCTAAAGAACTAGGGCTGCAGAATAAGGGTACATAATAAATAAAGCCACCATGCAAAAGGGTACAGTAAGAAAAATATTCTCTCTCAACCTTGGTGTTTTGTGCAGAGGAAAAATAAATCTTCCCTGAGATTTTGTAGCCACAGCTAGCCTCCACAGTTTGTTGTCTTTATTTACCCATTTCTGTATGTAGTCTGAAAACCTTAATGAAGAATTTAGTTTAAAATAGTCTCTGATCAGTGATGCCTGCAGCCAGCTGGCAGGAGGAAACTCATATCCTTTCTAAAATAATGTAACTTCAGTTGAGGCCCAAAGTATCTATGCAGATAAAGTTGTATGGAATGTGAGCGTACCAACAACAGTAGAGTTGGATCTACAAAGTCATTAGCTGTGGAATTATCAGAGAATTAATTTTAGTAAATAAAAGATAAACTTGAAATTGGTGCAAGTACAAAGACATTATAAAACTTACCAAGAAGATCTGAAAATAACCCAGAAGAAATGAGTAATATATACAAAATTAACAGTTCAGTGGATAGGACCAACAATGGAGTAAGCAAGGCTAAAGGGAGAATTATTGAAAAAGAAGATAGCTCTGAAGACATTATCCAGAATGCAGCTAAGTGGCAAAGAGGAGTCAAGAGACATGAAGAGTAAGGAGGTCTAAATATTGCTAACCAGAGTTCCAGAAGGAGACACGGGAGAACGGGAAAAGAAAACATTCAATGAAGTAAGAAGTAAAAATGTCTGGAACTGTTTAAAGTAACCAGTTCTTAGATTGAGGGAACCTAGTGAATTCCAAGCAAAATGAATAAAAACAAAGCGACTCTATACACCTCAGAGCAGGAAACCAAATGATAAAGAGAAGAGCTTACAAGCAAGTAGAGAGAGAAGAAAGACATGAGCAGAGGAGTGGCCATCACACCGACCGCCTCCTCAGGAGCAGCAGTTGCCGCTGGAAGCGGAACAGTATCTTCAGGGGGCTGAGACAATAACTGCCGTTCTGGATTTTTCCTACTCAGTGACATTATCTGAGAAGGATGAGAGTAAAATAAAGACGTGGAGGATAACAAAAACTGAGTTTGCCGTCAGCAGACTTTCACTAGGTACAATCTGAAAGAAGCTATTTTAAACAGAGGGAAGATGATCTCAGATGGAAGATCTGAGATGTAAAAAGGATGATAAACAAACAAAGTGCTAAATATGTGCCAAGTCTCAATGAATATTGGTTATAAAACAACACATGTATTGTGAAGGGAAAACAATGGAGAATTAAAGTAGATGAGACTGGAAGGGGATGGACAGTGTTCTACTGTTCTAAGGTCTTTGACTATTCAGGAAAAGGGTGAAGATACAGATTAGCTTTAGACATTGACAAGCTCATTTGAAAAGAGTGCTCATTTCATTGTCTAATTTTATAATTTTCCTCTTCACATGATGAGTAATGGTTCCTACACTGATCTGCAAACAAACCGATGGATCCACACAAAGAGCCCAGGAACCGATCTACTGTATATGGAAACAAAATTTCCAGCTGGTTTGGTATTACCAATAAGTGTGGAAAGGCATTAAGTATTTCTATGTTTAAAAAATGGAATTGTGTTTCTATCTCAGGCAAAATATTCTTTATAATAAGCAGAAATAAATTCCAGATTCATTAAAGAAATAAAGTGAAAGGTACAAATTATACAACATTTAGAAGAAAATGCAGAATGATATCTCTAGGAATCAGGGTAAAAAAGTATTTCTTAAGACACAAAAAAGGCAAACTATGAAGTACAAAATTGATTCCAATTTAACAGTTTCTGTTCATTAAAGGGCTATAATTATAATGACAGAA